ATCTTGACTGGCATGGTGACACGAACGCTTCCTTCGATCTAGGGCAACACTCAGCCACCTCCCACTGCACCCAGCGTTACAGGCTGTGCAATCTCGAGGCGTCAAAGCTTACCAAAGAGCTCACCTGGACAATATTTAGCATTCAAATAGTTCTTATTCCCTGAACAAGTAGCATAAGTGGCTTCACAAAAAACAAAGCATGTTCATATGCACTAAAACAGGTGAATTTGTCCAAATAGTTTACTAGAGCAGCAGGCAGCTGCAAACACCTACAGCTAAATTCTGCCCTCGCCTAATTAACGAGTGATCGGGGTAGAGGTAAGAAATGTGTGAGTATCTGGGAAAACAATCTCGCCCTGGTAAACGACCCACACATCTTGAGCTGGAAGAAACCATCTTAGTTAACAATAGTGTGATCTAATGACAGGTTTGGGATCTATCCCAGTAGTGTACTGGTAGCAAAGCAGACAGAGATAGTTATTCATCCCACCGCTGCAATACGCTGGTGCTTTAAGGCCTAATAAATAGCTGCAACTTTAAAAAAAAAAATATAAAAAAATGTCACAAATCAAGTGAGATTGAGTTACAACCTGCAGAGTTACTGTACATCTTAACTTACACCTGCTGGGAAAACTTGCTAGATCAGACTTAAATGTAAATACATCTATTTTTAACTGAACCAGTTTTTACAGGGTCTGAAGTATTCTTTCACAGGAAGAGGTTTTTAATATTCACACTGCTGCCTACAGTAACTTAATTTGTCCTCCTACTGTTCAGTGTTTTTGGTTTTGTGCACATACCCGCCCCCTTACCCTCGAGCAAGGGCTTGTTGGAGGGTGTGTGGGCGGGTTACTAATAGCTCCTCTTACATTTTGGTCTACATGGCATTCTTCATGAAAACGCTCGACATAAAAAACAAGCTGCTTGATTTATCTATTGTGCCTACTATCTGATGTATATGATGAAATGCTAACTTGTTAAATGTTCATTTATTTCTATTTTACTGTGCACAAAGACTACTGATTTAAAGCTCATTGTTGCAGTCCTATGATGCATGATCAAAATTGTAACAAAACTAAAATAATCCAGAAACTGGTGGAGTAAAAAAAGAAATTATTTATTGAGCCTTTTGATTCCCAAGAACCCTGCACAAATCCACTGTCAGCTTGACCACCACACACTGTGCTGAAATTCAGGGGGTCGGGGAGGGCAGGGAGCTCTTGTAGACACAGAATGTAACGGCTCACTCAAGAGTCCCAAAAAAGCCTGTAACAAAAGTCTCTGCATCTACCTTAAAAAAAAAAAAGTGCTCTCCTAGCAACAGCCAAGAATAAACATAACAGCACAGACTGAGATGTGGGTGGGAATGCAAGCGAGCTAATAAATCCAACTTGATCCAGCTTTTGCCTTTGGAGGGATTTGATTCATCCCATTACAATAAGGGAACACTGTGATTAATTCATTCACCTGTCAACCAGAAAAGAACCTGGCAAAAAAAACAATAGAAAGACCCCAAAACCCACCCCACAGCAAAAACCAAACCACACAGCCTACCTCTTCCTGTGCCCGCCCTCCTGCAGGTGCTCCTTTTTTTTAGGAAGGGATCCGGGGGGCAGAGGGGGTGGTGGCTTTACCTGGAGGAAGGTTGTGGCTCCTGGGAGATGTTAGTCGAGGCTGCAGGTGCCCGAACACCACACCCAGTCTGGGAGAGGCCCCTGGGGCTGTGGGCAGCTGCACTCACTCACCCAAGGAGCAGAGAAAGGTGGAGGTGATCACCGATGTCTCTGCAAGCCCTCAGGCACTGTGCCAGGCTGGTCACAAAGCCTGGGCCCCTCACCCTGGGGGGGGTTTGCAAAAGCTAATGGTGCAGTGGTGGCTGCACAGCACGTGCCCAGTGCTGAGACATGGCTATAAGCTGCAAATAAAAAAAAACCAACACCAACCCAAAAACCAACAACCAAACCCCTAAACAACAAAGCTTTCTATAAAATATTTGTTTCTGTCCTGTTGTTCCACTGGCCCAGCACTGATGAAAAGCCTGGAGTGATGCATACACATAATTGGAAAAAAATATAGACAGCTTATTAAGAACTAATGAGACCAAGGCCATAAATACTGAGTCTTGCATACTGTCACCTTTCTTTCTGTTCTCCATTTCTCAATGTTTCACAAAAAAATTGTTATGCAACTGAAAAAAAAACCCAAACCAAACCAAACCTATTAAGCTACCTCTAAGCTCCTCTTTTTTTTCTAGCAAATTAATTCTAGGTCATCCAAATAAGAACTTTGTACCATTTCCCTGCTGGCACTAAAAGCGTTTCAGAGGACTTACTGCATGACGTCTGTCTGCCAATACACACTCTGCTTTTCTTTGAACACAGCTGAAAATAATTCCTTCCAACACTTGCCCCTCCTCTGCTGATGGTTATCGTACCAACCAGCCCGGGTTCTGCAATCCCTTCCCCTAGTTTGCTGCCAGAGCACATAACGTGTACCCGGCCTCCTGCCGCACACAGCTCAGCCCTGGCACGAGCTCCAGGAGCATTTACTGCTGGTGCCTCGGCCCACCGGGTCCAGCTGAGCGCTCCCAGCCCTTTGCCCACACACCTTAACTGACCTGAGCACAGCCAGGTACCAGAGCCCTCCTTCCGTTCACTCACCAGCTCCAGTAACAAACCAGAACCACTTCTGTTGTGCTGACAGCAGAGCGGGTCACAAACAGACCCCACCACACCACCTCCATGTGATAGTGCCACTGCCCCACACGACATGGGGAACCGGCACCCCTTTGCTGAGGCTGCTGTGGAAGGAGAAGCCATTATTCAATAATATTATTTAATATTATTAAAGCATCAGGTTTCTCTGAGGCAGGGAACTGACAAAGCATGGCTGTGGTCACACATTGATCTACCAGCACCTACTGCTGCATTTAAACTTCTCAGTGTTTTGACTGAGTGTGTTTACACTTCAACAAGTGGCAATCCTGTGAAATCAGTTAACTGGAACTGTGCCAACCTGCTCTCCCTTCTCTGCTATGGATGCATCTTTACTGCCCTGGCACCACCAGTTCAAGCTCAAAGGAACCTCTGCCTCCCCTGGCAAAGCACCCAGGCCTCCCTGCAGCACATGCTGCGCTGCAACTACTGGCATTGATCACGCGTCCCACAGCCTCTTCCCTGACCTCCTCCCAAGTCAGCATTTTATCAGCACCACAAAATTTATTAGCACCAGGCTGTCCCACGACACAGGCTAATCCACCACCATACACGTGCCTGCGGCTCCACACACCACATCCAACCTGCAATCACACGCTGTCATAGAATCCCAGACTGGTTTGGGACTCGTTCTTCCTGTAAACTCTACATCACAAGTGCACCCAAACACCTCCCTTGTCTGCTCTACTGATTAACTGCAAGTGGACAAAGTGTTTCAAGCTGCATCTAAGAAGTAAAAACTTGTAAAAACCACCAAGGCATAAAACTGCAATCAGGCAACCACGGGTTATAAAAAACAACATCTCAAGGAAGCTGCGGTTCCTTCACAGGAACAGATGGGAAGGACAATAACAAAGCAAGTCACCCACTTTTCTTGAAAATGTTTTATTTGTTTCTAAAGAGGCTGAAAACAAAAGCAATTCCGTATTTCAGAATACCAAACACTATCCATAGCACAGAATGAAGAAAGAGTTTTCAGAGAAAAACCATTGCACGAGACCCAGATCTACTGAGCTACTCAGGATATTGCAACAAGGCTGGTGAACAGATCCGAGGATGGCAAAACCACCCTCCCACTGTGGCTGGCTGCTGCAGCTTCTGTCCCCACTCAAACTCCTCACTGCTTTGTGCTACGTGCTCTTGCCCACAGTCGGATGGGGGCTGGTTATCATTGGCACAGTCACTGCCACCCTCAGGCACCAAAAAACAAGCAGCAGGAAGGACCCAGCAGGTCACCTCCCGGGCTGGTTCCCCCAGGGCAGGCCCGAGGCACGCTGGCAGGCAGTTTTGCATTAACGTTGCATTTGTTTTGGGATAAAACAGGCTGTGAGTACCAAGTACAGGCAACCTGGTGTTACTATAATCACTTAGAAAATATAAACAGAATAAAAAGTTGCAGAGATCCCCACCGCCCTGGCTGCAGAAGCAGCAGGGATTTTATATCTGTGGTCGATGCTGCAACCTGGAGCAGAGGCTCAGCTCCAGCCCTGGGCACAGAAGGGTGCAGCACGGCTGTACCCAACACACTGCAACTGCTCCACCACGGGGCAAGTTTGGCCACTGGGATACAGGTGACTCACAGTCACCTTCAGGCTGTGACTGAAGAACTAATCCCTAAACTGAATACAGCAATTTCCTTATGGCTACCTATCCCAGCTTAAGGAAGTCCTTATCCACGACAGCAAGAGAAACTGGTTTCAAAAAGCAGATTACTGCAAGACACATTTATGATTCACAGAAAAATCCATCCATTAAAAACAACTGTCTTTACCAGAAATTCCTCAGGGGAAATGTTATATTTCAGTTCTCATGAAGAGAAAAAACTACAGAGCTATTCACAGCAGCAACCTTGCACCCCAGTCTACCGTAAAATGAAAATGAGCTGGCAGGTGATTGTGTCGCTGGTTTTGCCTAGAAAAGGCTGCTACAAAAAGATCATCAATATTCACACTTACTTCAGACACCCAAGTTTGGAACTTGCTACTGAAATAACGGCGTGCAAAACACTGATGAGTCAGGAAAGCAGTAACGGGCTTGCTTTTGCTGCGTGTTGAGCTCAACTAAGATTCCACAAGAATCCTGAACTTTCTAGACTTTGGGCTGGCTTGTTTATTTCTTGCAGTCTGTCTCACTGCTAAAGGTCTTTGATCTGTCGCTGCCCTCATGTTTTTCAACCTAATTAAACTGGTGTTGTTTTAACTTTGCTGACAATGGGCACTGACACCTTTGCCATCTGTCTAGTTTGCCATAAAGCTGCCATCTCCAAGAACTTCCAAGGTGGGACTGGGAAAATAAGGCAAATATAGGAGAACCTGGAAGTCTCAGAAACAACATGAAGTCAGAGTTCATTTGCTACAGCACAGAGCAGGGGTACGTTTGGTTAAGAGAAGGATTTTTTTTCTGAGACTGCACTGGCCCAGAACAATTGGTCACAAGCTACAACGTCGTTCATATTGGCTTGTACAGCAAAGTAGTCACGTATTTCTTCTTGTAACGATGTGTAGCACTGAGCACCATCACTCCATCCTACAGAGATGGAAAACAAGTGAGCATATTACAGGGTTATCTACAAGCTGCAGGTGTGAAGAACATGCCCAGGCCTCTCACCTTGATAGAAAGTGCATAGAGGTGGTTCAACATGACATGGTTGGGTTCAGGGAGTAGAGCAGGATCGCACTGGAAAAAAAAAGAGAAAGTGAGACAGTGTGAAAATAACAGAACTCACAGTTTACTCATCACAGCTGATGGGTGATAAACACCGTCTGTAACTCGCCATACCCTCGCATCCATCACACTGCTGCTCACGCAGAGTCCAGCGACAAACGTAGACAAATCTTCACAACAAATCAAGATCCCTCCAGGGTGAAACCCTCTGCATCCTCACTGCGCTCATGAAACAGGCCTCAATTACTTCTTATGTGCTCCTGACATTTTAATAGTGTTGCAGTGGGAAGATGAGGGTTTCTGGGAGTAAAACAGCAATCTAGCTTTCTTTTCAATTTTGAAGAGAGTCAAGTAGAAAAATAAATTTATATCAGATGGATCCATCTGGACATACGTAATAGGGAATTCACCAACATGGCAACTATTCTAAGGTTTTTCCTTGCCTGTCTCCTGCCTGCACCCAGATTTTTTCCCCCATTTGTTCACACCCTCAAGGCCATTATTCAGCAAAACAAACTGATGTACTCACAGAAATGCCTGTGTCCTTATTCAGGATGACCTGCAGCAGGTGGGGGGGAAGAATAGGTGGTGATTTAAAGCGCTCCTCTGCCTTACAAACATAGGGCTCCTGGTGGTATGGTCCTGGGGGTGAACTTGACAGTTCTGCCAGAGAAATGTTAAATATTTATTCTTAAATAGCCCATAAGAATATCTGCTCTTTATAGGTAGGTTTTTACTGGTACTCCAAGTCAATTTTCACATCCAGGAACAGGCAGCTAAAATAAATCAATGGCGTGTAAGTACAAGGACTGCAGCAGCTGATGCAGTGCCAGAGGATCAGTCACTGCCCAAGAAGTGATTTAAGATGCCCAAGGTCTGTCTGACTGGAGACTAGCTGTGCAGATGGGGGAGGCAGAGTTCTGAGGGCCTTCCTGCACTCCACAACTTCACTCTGCCCCGCACTTCTCCAGCAAACAATAGCGAACATTGCTCCACAACGTCACCTCCAAGGGAAGCACCAGAAACACAACATGCACGTGTAAAAGGCAAGTATGATACCTGTGCAGGGCCAGGGTAATAGAAAGAGCTCTTCAGTGTCTAAATCAGTAAGAGGAAAGGCTGTTACAGCACGTGAGGGGGAAGGTATCTACTAGACTCTCCTCTTGTGTTCTTGCACTGTCCTAGTCTCACAAACCAAACTCCTCCTCCAAAAAGGCATTGTCCAGAAGAAAGGTGCATTTAGCAAAAACCAACCAAACACACCTTCTGCCTCAGATTCAAAGGACAGGTCTTCTGACAGAGGATTTAAGCGCCACTTCAAACATAGTCTCCATCCCTACATAAGTCTATAAAGAAGAGGTCGCACGGCTTATCTCAGAGATGACTCAAGCTAAATCTTACCTCTCTCCTGTTATACTAGAATATGAAACTTAAGGCAAAAATAGCATTTTTTTATTATTCTAAGATACAGACAATTTATACTAAACGTTGAGGGTATGATACATGTAAAGATGGAATTAGGAGCAACGCAGGCTGTCCGTATTGCTTTGATTTTGCAAGGTAGAGACTGACCACCACCGAGTGTGTTACAAACAGCCATTTCACATCGCACAGGCAAACAAACAGCTATTAAGCACCCATGACTTCCTCCTAATCAGATCTACAGTGACCTGTGCTGCTCTGTCAGATGTTTCCTCCTTTCTGCATTCCACATTCTCTCTTTGTGCATTTGTGATTCCTGCACACGTTCACAGGGCCTAACAAAAGTGGAGATTAATCTATACCAGAGCTTTAACTCCGTATCAAAGGGAAGATGACATTTTTAACAGCTCTACAAAGTGTGTTATAAAATTACCAGTAAGCTCATACCAGACATGTCTGAACATTTTTGGGAGTCCACCATCAAAGCATCGAATACTTCAAAGTCAGTTTTCTTCACCTGTATGATGTTGTTGAGGGTTCCTAGCTGGCTGGTTACTACTGGCTGGGAAGAAACAAGATACAAAAGTCAGAATAAAAAAGCTTGCAGCAGTATTAGATTCTTAAAATTACACAATCAGCATTACCAAGAATGATATATATTGCTTTTAAGATATGCTAGTAGCTCACCGTTGCTCAGTCAGTGTTAGGTTAAGACCAAGTGCAGGATTTAAGACTGGGGGGGATGCATGCCAGTTGAACCTGCTAGGTCCACAGCACTTGATAAATTCCTGGGCAATAGATAAGGCTAGGATCAGGATTGGGCTAAAGTTAACAGTGATGACACAAGGAGCTACACTTTACTTCTAGCTTCTACAGGGCTTTCAGAGCCAGGCTAAGATCTGCATGGCCTGATGTAGGACAGAGTATGGCTGGTATCACTGGTTTATGACTAAAGCTAAGGCTGGAGTCCGAGGCAGAGGGTTCAAAGAGCTAAATTTACTGCAAGGTAAATTCTGCAAGGTTTGCCAAGACAGCAAGAAGGCTGGAACCAGCATCTGTGAGTGATGAGTTCTGAAGCAGACAGGGACTGCTGGGTGTGCTACAGTTAAAGCTCATTTCATAGCAGAGGAGGAAGAAAAGGCCTGGTAGATTTTGGCACGATTACTGGACTGTGAAAAGATCCAGAGGAGCAATAGCAACATTCTGGCACAGATAGCAAGTACAGCACAGAGAGATTTGGGCTCTCAGCAATGCTACAGTGCTTTAAAAGACCGTTTGGCACTAGGCAAGAAAAGCTCATCATCTCTTATAAACTAACACCCGAGAGACCTTGTCACCTGTTTGTTACAAAATCTCCTGTCCTTTGAGAACATCAGTCTGATGCCACCACCTAGGCCAGCTGGGATCAGAAATCTCTCTCTCACCAGTTTGAACAGTTAGTTTCTGCTGTGAACCAATGAATACCTTCTCTCTGCAAAGGCCAGCTGCTGGCAGAGAAACCAGCCAGTTTCTCCTCTTCAGATGCCTCAATGAATACCCACAGCGAGTCAAAGAAGACATTACCTCTGAAGGATCGTGCGTCCACTGCCCATCCACAAAGAACTTGTACTGGTGCTCTCCTTCTGGCAGGTCCAGAATTGCCACAAAGTTATTGTGACTAGAATTTAAGACAAATGATCAGCCCTGAAATATTCTGAGAAGTACATCAATCTATAAACTGTGACAAACACTGTAAGATAGAACACAAGCCTCCTCAGCATGCAAAAACTTAGAAAGACAGTGCCACATTTAAGAGAATCTCTGATGAAATCTAAAGGTAAAGAATCACACTAGGGTTAATGTTAATTATAATTTCCTCTGTGACAGGAGGTCTCTACACATTCAAAATTAATATCCGCTGTCCTGGCATCAAGGAATAAGCACTGAGCTTTTGTAGAGTCATCCTCACATCTTCATGTTACTTGTTAGTACACAACATTTCATTTTATCTGTTCGACTCCTGCTGATGGAACAAGATCAGCTTACTCCTATTTCCTTGCCTTTCAGTATTTGCCATCATAAATTGCATTTCACAAATGCCTATGAAATTAATGAACAATAACTTGAAGACGAAAGCAGCAACTCAATATTTCTGAGTTACTTTGGATCTGAAGAGCTGCTGCTTGGTAACTGATACTCCTGTGCTGTGAACTCCCTGATTCTTCACAAGTCTTTACCAGCATCTCAAAGAAGCTGAGAAACAGTAGATGCTACGTAAACGATTCAAGCAAAGCACGCAATGCCAGTTATCTCTCTTTACTTCTTCTCAGGTAAGGAGCACAAGCGCACCATCACAGAGCTGGAGCTGAAATTTCAGTTTGGAATAATGAACTCCTCTACTTGAGCATACTGGATTCAGTAACATGATTTTATCCAGCCCCTAAGGAGGTCCAGATATCTCCTTTCCCAGAATACCTGATCTGACAAGACACAAACTTGTCCTTTTTTTTTTTTTTTTATACAGAGACATTTTTGTCCTTTTTCCAGATTCATTTCACCATTTCCTCTCTCCCAGGCTTTCTACTTCGAGTATGACAGGAATACTGATGTTCCACTGGCCTTTTTTCCAGCTGCAGTCTTGACAATTTATTTCACGTTGTTCATCACAGAACAATCCTCCTGTACCATTTCATCAGGCCACCTCCTCCCTCAAGTTTTCTAAGAAATTAAGATACTTCTGCAACAATGACAATGGAGGGAGCCACTCACTGAGATGAGAAACACCAGAAATTGGCAGGAGACCAGTCTTTCATGGATATGTCGTCGTTGACAGACAACAGGACTCAGATCCACAATTAAATAGACTCTCTGCCATCCATTAAGTCTTAAATTTTTTAAAAACATTGGTTTAAGTGAAATACTCAGGTAGAGAATTAAACAGAGCATCAGAGGTCTCTAGCAGGAAAAAACACTCGGTACCTTAACACAGATTTATTCTCTTGTTCCTATAGTTTACCAGCAGGTATCCCAGGCTCAGAGTTTCCTAAGCAGAACCTGGACCCTTTGAGCTGGGCAAAAGCCAATGATACGGCAAGAAAGTACATGTGCCCTCAGACACTGTGCTTAAAACCAGCTTCACCTTGCACAGCCTAACTCCACCCCAAGTAGCAGACAGCACAACAAGGACTGTTTTGGGTCATTCATACACGGTGCCTGTGAACAGATCACTCCTTCAAAACTGACACACAACTCAACTTTCATTCTGTACCATTCAAGAATCAAAAAGTCAGATTCTCATCAAAGACTCGAGAAGAGAAGCAAGAAAGTAGTAAATCCGAGCACAATACCAATCTATCAGCTGACCACCTTTCTCACTGCACTAAGCATTCCCAGTCTGTGGGGCATGTCACCAATACAGCACCAGCAGTTTGTTACCTTCTCGTCAGCGGAATTTTACTCCAGTTGTTGAAAGACCCAGATAAATAAACTTCTTTCCCTCCTCCAGTCCAGCGGAAGACTGTTGGTCGAGCTTGAGTGGGAGTTTTATCATTCACTTCCAGATCTTGCTGCCAAGCTAGGAATTCTTCTTTCTCCAACGGAGCCTACAAGCACAATGTCTTAATCAAAAGGATTTCTTTCCTGGCAGACTTAGACAACCAACATCTTACCTAAGTCACTTTTGTGCTCAGGCACAATTCACAAGTCTACAAGCAGTTTCTGTCAGATGGAGATTAGAAACTGTGCATTTCTAGATGCTGTTCACAAGTTCATTTGCACAAATTCTGCAAAGATGTTAAAGCCTTCCAAATTTGCAGAAAGAGTAGAAGACAAAACAATCCCCCTCCCTTAGCCTACATTCGCTTAAAAAGAAATTACTTGAGCTCACAAAAGTTTTCAAAACACAGAGATATAAGAACAGGGAGAAAAATAATTAAGAAGAAATACACTTAAGAAGCAATTAGATTATACAAATACCATAAGCACAAAATTTGCAGTTGGCAGAAAGATTATGAGTTCTCTATAAGAAACAGTTCTATCCAACAGACAAAATCCAGGTATAATTTTCTGTTAGATATTCTTACGAAGCATGATACACAGCAAGAGGTTTCTAACAATCCATCTAATACTGAGCAAAAATCCAGTTAACAGAACTTTTTATATGGAAAATAACAGACAAGTGAAATGTCACTGGTGCCTACAAGAGCATTAGGTATCTGAAGGAAGCCGTGGCACTGTACCTAGAACTGGGAAAGAGCTTTGAACCAGTAATATTTGAGTTTTTCTGCAATTAACTCTTGCTGGAAACCATGACATGATACTCATAGTATCTGCTTGGACGTGGAAAGCAAAGGAGATATTCAGTTTTGTGTGTAAATGCAATGACAGAACTACTGAAGGTTGCTAACAGCAGCACAACTGGACAGCATTCCCAAGCCAGTAACGTTAGAAGAAAAGAACAAACCAGCAATACCTTCATTTCCTCTGAATGGAACAAGTCTGTATCTTCAGGACTGTCCATTAAGATTTTTGGTCTATCACCCTCTTTTGTAGTGATGGCTCCTCCTGAGTTGTCACCTCGGGATGCCTTATGCCCATGACGCTCCAGTCCAGCTCGCTCACTGCTTGTGTTCCCCATTTTTAAGGACCTAAAAGAGCAGGAAAAATCAGATTAGCATGTGTGCTTTCAACACCAGAACACCAGTAGAGAGGAAAGCAGGCTCATCAGTAGACGTGGGCTCTGTTTCTGAGTTGAAAGTCTACGAAACTTGATTAACTCAAAATGCTAGCATCTCAAAATTGTATCACACTCAGAACAAAGACACTAAATAACAACTTTCCGCTTCTCTTGAGGATGTGCTACAGTTCAATATCCTAGCATCTCTGCAAGACTCAGCCACTCTAAAAGTTGACCAAGCAGGTATCTGTCACTGCAGCACACTGGTACACTGTCTTCTCACGCAAAGTGCTTGCTCTGCTGTCTCCTGAATACCCGTGCACATAATGTTCTACCACATCAGTGGAAACATCAGTAGAACTTTCTGTCAGAATGCTTCAAAAATAACCTACTAGAAATGTGACTTGACTAGAAAATAAAGTCATCTCAGGTGGCAACCTGCTGAGGATCCTTACAGTGGCTGGCTGCGGCTCTAAAGCACAAACAGCACAGTCCTGCTGATGCTCTGCTAGAGACTTCCCCCAGCCTCTGATTTTCTCAGGGAAAGCCAGGGGCCAGCTGTGCCAGAAACACACCACTTTACCCTGCTCCACAGCCCGTGTGGCCACATCCACAGGGAGAAGGGATGAGCCTGGATCCCATATCTTATCCAAAAGATAAGATGCTTATGGGTGAAGAGCAGCAACTCAGAGGTGGCCAAGGGGGCTGTGTGGGGGGTACACACAGGGTCTTGCACAGCACCCCGCCGGGTACAGGGGTGGGGTGTTGCTCTGCTTCCTGCAAATTCAAACTACAGACACGACCCAACTTCCAGCTGTGCAGGTCTCTGCTCAGTCACAACCTGAAGCCAGTCTCAGCGTGTGTGGCTTAATAAACAACTAAAAATGTAACTGGCATCAGGAAAAACCAGGCATAGATGCAAATGTTAAGCAGCTATGCGACACTGCAACAGCTCTGACCCTTCTGGGTCTTCTTTCAGCAGC